ACCTTTCACCTATTTTAAAAGAAGTTGATAAAGAAGGAAGATATTTATTTGTGGAAATAAATTTAAATGGAAGAAAGTGTTTAATAATAGGGGTTTATGCCCCTAATCAACTTTCAGCTCAAAAGCAATTTTATAGACAATTACATCAGAAAATTGTGGTTATGGACTATAATTCTTTGATTGTTATGGGAGACTGGAACGGTGTTCTGGATACGTCAAAAGATAAAAAAACAACTTCTAAGGATGCAACCCTTTCCAGACTACCTAAGTCCTTTTTTGCTATGAAGGAGGACTTAGAATTGGTGGATGCTTGGAGATCACAACACATGAATGAACGAGATTTTACTTTTTTTTCTCATAGACATGACTCCTTTTCAAGGATTGACTTTGTTTTGACATCGACTGACCTGCTTACTGACTGTAATAAAACTAAAATCTTTCCCAGAACTTTGACTGATCATAGTATGGTGTGGATAGAGATTGGCCAACAAAGAAAGAGGAAATCTTGGAGAATAAATGAAAATTTGTTTAATTATGAGGATTGCAGTTAAAGCTCTGAAGGAATCTATGGAAGAGTTCTTTCAACTTAATTTGAACAAGGGGACCCCCATAAATATTGTTTGGGATGCTGGCAAGGCTTATCTAAGGGGAATATTAATTGCTATGAATAATGCACACAAACGCAAGCAAATACAGATTAGATTAAACTTGGAAAAAGAAATTGGGACTAAAGAAAAATTACTATTGCAACGACCAACAGATATCAACTTAAAAACCTCTATTAAAATGCTTAAAGATCAATTTAACTTGTTAATTGTTGATCAGATGGCCACCAACTTGAAGTATATTAAACATAATACATTTGCTAATGCAAATAAACCGGGGAGATGGTTGGCCTACCAAATACGCAAGAGACAAAAAGCTAGACTTATATCTAAAATTTTGGTCAAGGATCGAGAGATTTACCAACAAGAAATGATTAAAAAGGCATTTACTGAATTTTACTCGCATTTATATTCTTCAGAGACTATAAATAGTGAAGATATTGATAAATACCTACAATCTTCATCTATACATAAACTTACATTGGATCAACAGAAACTTATGAATGAAGAGATTACTACAGATGAAATTTTAAAAGCAATTAAACAATTGAAAGCTGGTAAAGCCCCTGGAACAGATGGCTTGACAGCAATTTATTATAAGTCATTGTCAGCTGTAATGCTACAACCTTTAAAAACTTTATTTAATAGAATTATGCTGGGAGAACAAATACCACAGTCTTGGACAAGAGCTTTTATATCTTTGATACCGAAGGATGATAAAGAAATTTTGGAACTTAAAGATTACAGACCTATCTCCTTGTTGAATGTGGATTATAAAATTTTTGCAAAAATTTTGGCTAACAGATTGATGCAGATATTGCAACATTATATACATGATGATCAAACTGGCTTCATATCTGGAAGGTACATGAAGAACAATATTAGACAAATTGTAAATCTATTGGAATATTTGGATAAGAATAATCAAATATCTTCGGCTTTTATCTTTCTTGATGCGGAGAAGGCCTTTGACAAACTGGAATGGCAGTTTTTAAACAAAATGTTGGACTATATGAACTTTGGAGATCAATTTAAAACAGCTATAAAGGCGATATATCAAAAACAGGGGGCTCAAATAATTATTAATGGAGACTTGACAGAGCTTATAGATATACAAAAAGGTACCAGACAAGGTTGTCCACTTTCTCCTTTATTATTTGTATTGTCACTGGAAATTTTATTGTCCAGAATTAGAGAATCTTCAATGATTAAAGGCCTAAGGATTTCTGCTAAAGAATACAAACTTAAAGCTTTTGCGGATGATTTAGTTTTTACATTGTCTCAACCAATTGAGTCATTGGAATCTTTGTTGCAAGAGCTGTATCAATATGGCAAGGTGGCTGGATTTAGAATTAATGTTAACAAGACTAAAATTCTTGCAAAGAATATGATGGCTAAAGATAAAAATCAACTTACGCAAACATCAGGATTTTAAGTGGTTAATAAAGTTAAGTACCTGGGAATTTTTTTGTCCTCCTCCAACATGAAACTCTATCAGAATAATTACGAAAGACTGTGGAAATCAGTACAAAATGATTTATTAATGTGGAAAAAACTTCAGTTTTCTTTGCTGGGTCATATTGCGGCCATTAAAATGAACATTCTACCTAAGTTTCTTTTTTTATTTCAGATGATACCTATTTTAAAAAATGAACTTAACTTGAAAGAATGGCAGAGAGATTTGAATCGTTTCATTTGGGAAGGCAAGAAAGCGAGAGTTAAATTTAAGATTATTCAAGATGTTAGAGAACGTGGAGGACTTAAAGCACCAAATTTGACACTTTATTATGATTCTTGTGCATTAACATGGATGACGGATTGGATCAACTTGTCTAACAAAAGGATATTGAATGTTGAAGGATGGGACTTGTACTTTGGGTGGCATGCCTACCTTTTTATGCAGAAAAAGATTGACAAAACTTTTAGAAATCATATAATAAGGGCTGCTTTGTTAAGAGTCTGGCAAAAGTATTTTTTTAAGTTCGATGTTA